GACCTGATATTGGGTGACCAGATCTGGGCACCTTTAGATACAAAGCCTTCTGCCCTTCGAATGCTCATCATTGGCCATCCTGGGGACCAAATTCTGCAACCACAGTTCCACACATCTTAGTGGGCATTCTGGTGGGATAAGACTCTCTAGCTCCTTTTCCTGGGGTGAAGCTAGGGGAACAGTCTTTACTCTTTAGCAATAACACTCTAGTTCAGATCCTGATGTCGCTGGCACCCTGTGGAAAAACTTGGAATCTGACCAGCAATTCTGTCATTTGTAAAAACAATTCTGGGGTAGAATTCACGGCTCGGTTGGTTCTTCAAGTTTGACTGGAGTTTAAATTAGCCAACAAATTAAATCCACCACACCCCACTCCCATTTTGGCCAGTTGGAATTCAACGGTGGATCTTGTCATTAAATAATAGTTTGGCAGAGTACTATTTTAAAAGCCATTTTCAAACTGTGTTCTACAGTAGTTATTAAGAAATTGAATGGCCTGGTCACATGCATACCCCTTTGGGAACCATTTTTAAAAGTTACACTTTATGTGGATGTTTTTTTAAGTAATGTGTCGGCATTACCATGAGTATTAGTGTAATTAAATAATATTGGAAATTATTGCTTAGTTATGACTCCTAAATCTTGTGGAGTCCTTATGGCAGTTTACAAACATATAAATAAATTGAATGAAGACGATTTTAAATGAAATAAGGATTGCTGCTTTCAGCGTCTCTCTCTCCATTTTTATAGACTTGAAAAGTAGCAGAAATAATGCTGACGATCCTATTTATCTTATAAGTGGTAAAATCAGAGAAAATACTTGTTTGGATGTTCCCTGTTCTCTCTCAAATGAGCGCTCATGCTAAAATCTAACAAAAATGCTTAGAACTGCTTCCCACTAAAATCCATTAACAGTGGAAAGCAAAATAGTGTCTTAACAGTTCCTGAAAAATCCTCACCGGGTGAGAAATCCATATTTATTTAAGCTTGCAGTCTCTGGGCCCTGTTTTAATGAAGGGCAATGATTTGCTGTACATTTTATAAGAGCAAGATTCTTCTTGTTGTTCTTGCTTTGTTGTTATCTTGATCAAGCTTTGTTAGGAAAAGAAGCACTTTTCCTCTTGAGTTCCAGATTATTTTGCATTTATAACAGGGAGGATCAAACACTGTTGATGAAAGTGCGTCTTCACAAAAGAGAGAGCTTGGAAAACATAAAGCCTTGTTCTTGACTTGAAGCTCAGACAACCCACTCTGAAAAGCCGCTTTATGTTCCAGTTTGGCCTCTGAAGCAGCCAGTCTGATGCTAGTCTTGATGGATGGATATGTAATCCTGAGGCTTGTTAGCATGTTCAATTTCAGAGCCCAAATTAATTTTGCGTAGGCTGCGCAGTTACAGCTAACAATCCTCCTGTTTTTGAGGGCCAGAGGAGGAGTTTATGTGCACGTTAGACTTCTGCTTTTTTAAACGCGAGAGCTTTTAACAAGTTGATGCGACTTAGTGAAGCTGTTCAGTCAGCTTGTGCAGGGCTACAGCAAAAGATAAATGATCTAGTTAATCCTGGAGATTTCATAAGTGACTCAGATGGTTCGTGGGCATTGAAATTCAAGAGCTGGTTCACACAGTACGCTAAAGAAGACTGACCCAGGGTTGGGTAATTACTGATTCATCCTATTGGGGTAATCCATCCATTGCCTGAACCAGACCATCACATTTGGACATCATGGGATTTGGGCGTAGCGTGGTAGGGGAAGACAGGAGTTGTGTTTTGCCAAGGAGGGATAAGAACCCAGCCACCCCATCAGTGCCAAGCAATTATGGGGGCCTACCTACAAACATACTTTTAATGTTTCACAAACACCGATGATCTGAGGAAGGACCTTCCTCCCTTGAAAGAAGGCAAGGCCATCATCTCCTGCCAGTATGATGGAAGTTCTCTCCCATGTTTTCTTCTCTGTCCCCGTGAAGAGGATCCATCTTGACTGTGGTGATCAGCCTGGCCTCGGTGTTGCTGGCAGTCGCTTGGACCGTTCACCCTGGCTGATCGCTGTCCCTCCTCTCTCCAGTGTCTTTGGAGAGATGTTACTGGATTTGCAAAGTTGCATGGTTGGCCCAAGCAGACTCCTCCCTTGGTGCTGGGTAGCTGCTAGATACCCGCCCGAATGGAAACAAAGGCCAAACTGCATCGGCGCTTGGGGAAATCTCAGCTTCGAACCGTCTACGAGAGAAGTCGCTGAGCCGTTCTAAACGGGAAAAAGCTTGGAAAGTGCATTTAGAATTCCATGCACTTCCAACACAAGCAATGAAAGTAAAATGGCAAATGTGTACAGGGGACAGGAAGTCATTTCCTTGTTGTGTGTCACCTCATGCCACACTTAAATTCCTCACAGTTGTAGTAATGATACACCTTCCTTGCCTGCTCATTGTTTGGGGGCAGGGACTATTGTTTGACTAACCTCTTCAGCTCATGTCTCTGATGTAGGTCCTCCTTGGAGCACAAAGGGCTCTTTGTATACCCAGGAACGTGTGTTGTGGAACTTCTGGAGGAGCTGTGAGCAAGCAGAGCTCTTCAGGAGAGAATGTGGGCATGCCACAGACAGACTAGAGACTGGGGGGAATCCCAAACTAGAATTCCCACCGTACTGGTTGTTGTGTAGCGAGAGTATCATCCTTCATCTTGCTTTCTCGCTCATTTTGACTGGTTTCTCGGACCCCAGAGTGCATTGGGAGAACTATACGAATGCAAATTTGGGCTGTAAAGGGTTCCGGGATCCAGTCTGTGCTGAATGCTGGATTAGCTAATGTGGTTACATTTCCATGTTTCTTTCAACTGAAGTGATCTTTGCATACAGCTGCTATTGCTCTTTTAAACAGGATTTTCAGTGGCAGTGTTCTAAAAATAAAAGGGTTCCGGGATCCAGTCTGTGCTGAATGCTGGATTAGCTAATGTGGTTACATTTCCATGTTTCTTTCAACTGAAGTGATCTTTGCATACAGCTGCTATTGCTCTTTTAAACAGGATTTTCAGTGGCAGTGTTCTAAAAATACATCAAGTTCTGGAAAACCCTGCCCGATTTCCAAATGTCTGGAACCATGAGTATTGACACCTCTTTACTTACTTCAGAAGAAAAAAAAAAAAGAGTAGTGGTGGCTTGAAGGAATGTGCTTGTTTTTCAAATGTTTGAGGTGATTTGTAAGAACATCTTGATATTCTTGCAATAGCGTCTTTGTGTATGCTGGGTAGCCTTGTCCAATTGTGCTGAGCGAGAGCTGAACATGTAGAAATGGAAAATTCCATGAGGATATTGAGCTTTTCCAGCATGAAAGGAAGGCCGTCTGTGTAATTATCAGCTGGTTCTACAGAGAAACAATTAGGCAAGCGGGAAACGTTGCACAACCGTGGCTGCTTATACTTGAAAAGGACAATTTAGAACATGTTCCAGGAAGAGGCTCTTTTCAGCAGGGCCGAGATTCCTGAGGCTTTGTGGAAGCCCTGAGCTGCAGGACATCAAGGCCTATCTTCTGCAGACACTGCAGTGCCATCAGCAGAGCCCCATTCCTCAACCTGAGGCCTTCTAGATAGACTACCACCCTCATGGTCCCCAGCTTGTATCTTAGACTCAAATGGCAACTGAATCTCACTGGGGGTAGGTTTGACTAACAGTAGCAGCCCCTGAATTCACCTGGGCTGTCTGGGTGGCTGTCATGATCTTTTATCCTAGTGGTCCTTTTCCATGACTTGGAACATGACCTTAAGCATATGTGACTGTTCCTCCAGCACATTAGCCCTAGAACTGTGACCTGAAGGTCTGTGTCAAGATCCCTTTGGCCAAGCTGGTTGCTCTGCCCTTTTCTTCTGTAGAAGGGCACAGAGGGTCATCTTCCATCAGCATGTTGTGCAGCTGTGTGCTTCTTCTTTGTAGTCATCTATTTAGAATTCTAAGACAGAATTTTAATACATGCTTGGGTGTGTAGACAGAGATCACGCGCACATAGTTCATGGTACATTATGGCTTCAGTGACCATCTGAAGAGTTCCTTTGCCTTCTGCTTTTCTGGAATACTGATGAGGCTTTTTGGTCTTCTCCAACGGCTCCTTTCCTTTCAACCCATGCTGGCTGGGGAATTCTGGGAGTTGAAGTTCACACTTCTTAAAGTCGCCAAGTTTGAAAAACACTGCTTTAAGCCATTAATTAATTCAAAGTGTGTGTGAGGGGGTCCGCTGAAACTCTCTGATGGTGTGACATGGTCTCTGGATTTCTGATTTCTGGTCTAGCGGCTGCCACAGAGAAGTATTCCATTTGTATAGTACCAGGAAGCTACCTGCTCTCCCCTCTCACATAAAAGACTCCCCCCGCCCTTCCTTTCTTTTATCCTTTTCCTGGGCAAGCGAGTCTTAGTTGCCACCACCCACCATTTTTATTTTGAGGGATTCTTGGAAATGAACATGATGGCCAAGGCTGGTGCTTTGCTTTGCCGTTGGCCAACTTCACCTTCAGTTAGTTTAAATATACTTTCTAAATGTTAAAAAGCCAGGTGGAACCAGAATTGCAGTAGGAGTCAAGGAAGTCTGCAGGCAGTAGGCGCCCTAGGTGCCATGTCGGGGATCCAGATATTCCAACCACCTCTGTGGCTAATTAGAGAGAACCAATTAAGAGAGGAATTTGTGTGCTGACACTCAGAAAGAGAAACTGAAAACGTTTCTTGCCACTCTGGAAGTCTTATACTTTGTCCTCCATCGTAAGGCGTGTGTCTATGTTCCAAACTTCTAATGAATATAATAAAAGTGCAAATGTTGAAAAATGTGCAACTGCACACTTGGATACAAATTATGTCCAAGGGTTTGGAATGTCTTCCCTGAAGAATTTCAAGAAGAAGCCCTCTTATTTCTGTTGTTATTGGCATCACAATTGAAATGGTGACCCTGGCGTCTTTAACCTGGCTTGCCAGTCGGAGGGGTGTCTTTAAATGCTGTGTTTGTGCCTCCTCTTGACTCTTTTCAGAATCACAGAGCAGATCCTGAGGAGCTTTTCACCAAACTGGAGCGCATTGGGAAGGGCTCCTTCGGGGAAGTCTTTAAAGGTATCGATAACCGAACGCAGCACGTGGTTGCTATTAAAATCATCGACCTTGAGGAAGCTGAGGATGAAATTGAAGACATCCAGCAGGAGATCACGGTTCTCAGCCAGTGCGACAGTCCTTATGTCACCAAATATTATGGCTCCTATTTGAAGGTAACATGGACCTTTGCTCTGTGCTCCTTGGGACAAAGGCCATCTGGACGGATGATTTTGCGAGGGAGGGGCAAAATTGATGTCTCCAGGAGCACGTGGAGCCACATGTGTTATGGAAACCAGTGGTAGCATTTACCTGTTCTTGATCATGTTTTGGGGTGAGCACAGATACTTCACCCTCTAACCCAGGGGGGTGGCGGCAAACTTTTTCTGTCCACATCTGGAACAAACACCCTATTTTATTCCAGATGTGGACTAAACATGCACGTTCAGTTCAGATGCAATCCATCAAAAATCAGCTCTTCCCTGTACGGAACAGTTTACGTATGAACTCCTAGTGTAGACTGTCACAGTCCCAAACCTTCCACAGGAGTTGCAATATAAAGAGTTTTTCTTTTAATGCCTAAGTTGTGTCATAATCCACAAAGCATAACCAGAATTGCAACTGATTTCTGCTATGGATTCAAGATTGTGATGGCAAAAAATCAGGAGGGGGAGTCTTGCAACACCTTTTTTGACTAACAAACCTTATTCATAGGTACAGGTTTTTGAATAAACCATAAACTAACCCATCTCTCCTCCCCCAAAGACTAAGTGTGTCCTCTGTTCTGCCTGTATTATACGTTCTTGGCCTGTACAGTCAGCAAAGCATCTTGCTGGATGCCAAGGTGCAAATGATACACACCCAGTTACAGTTTATACTGGCAAATTCTCTGAGACATTGGAAAAACATAGCATTTTCCTGTGTAGGGCTTTCTAAATCACACTGTACCAACCAAAGGTATCTGTGTAACCACAGCCGTGCAATAGAATGAATGTTTATTACAAGTTTTACTTACTAGCACAGATGAGCTTTGTGGAAGGTGCTAAAAGTAGCAAATACCTGACATCTTAATTTCCAACCACTGGAACAAGCCCGTAGAGGGTAAACGCAATGTGTAATCTTCCAACAAAGTATACTCTGTTCAGGAGCTGGCCTTAGATCCACCACTTCATGCCTCATTCTGCAGTGCCCAGATTTTTGGTCTGTGTTCAGGAAATGCCGTCAGGTTAAAACTCATCCATAGATGGGACTCCTGATCAGAAGTTCCCCCAAATCTTCCATTTGGCTTCGCTCGTTGGCTGCAGGGAGCAAGCGGTACAAAGGAAGGGTGGACCTTTCTATTAATCTGGCAGGAGGGGGGGGTAGCCTTTTCAGCCTCAGGAAGCTCATAGATTGGTGTCTGGTGGGACCATACAGGTTCTTGCACCCAGCGGCCTCTGCTCCTTCTAGCACTTGAATGGCAGCTCTTGACTAGGGGAAGGGTATCAGCCCCCATAGATGGGCTGTGGGTTGTTCACCCAGATGTTGGACTGATTTTTAGCTTAAGGCATAAGTCACCTTTTGTGATATGCAGATTTCTTCATCTGTAAATGGAAAGTGGGAAGCTGATAAGCTCACAGCTATAAATATCATGGTTGGCTGCTGATGTAAATATCTTGAGTGGTGAAACTCTTGTGATCGTGGCATTGTTTGAAAAGATGAAAATACCTTCTTACTATAAATAACCAGTAGTCACAGAGCAACTTTCTGAAATGTACACAAATTTTTTCCTTCAAGCTGGTTCATCATGTGTCAGAGAACTCAAAAATTGGTTCATAAATTATTGTGGACATACTTCATGTGGTTCTTCTAAAAACACTTAGTATAATTATACAATCATACAATATAACCAGTAAAATGTTCCACTACAAATAGCTACCACTTTCTAAAAGTGGTAGCAAAGAACATGTAACTGGTATTTAAAGCATTAACAACAACCAAGGAGTAGTAAGAATAAAAGCGGAGTAGCAAAACTAACATGAAAATAAAAAGATCTTCAGTTTTGATGAAATGGCCCAAAGAGGAGCCCATCCCTATTTTAGCTGGCAGGCAGTTTCAAAGTAGTGCCATTCCAGAAAAGAAGTCCCTGGATCTCCCCAGGTTGTACCAGGAGCAAGCCTTGGGTGCTGGTCTTAATTCTTGGCCAGAGACAATCTGGGAGCTTTTAAGGGCCGTTGGCAAGATTGTGAGCCCAGAAACAGGAGCAGACTGTTAAAAGAATTGATAGAAGATTGGAATGATATCCTCTAATTTTGGAGCAGGAGAGGAAATCTGATAGCTACCACTCATTGGTCAGTTGACTGTCTTCAGAAACAGCCTCCACCCAGAGCGCAGTCTAGTGATAGCAATGTTTGGATGCTGGAGTCCAAATGAGCTTCTTTTGGGCAGGTTGAGTTTCAATCAGCAGAGCACCTCAAACTAATAGCACCTGCCCTTGTAGCCTCTGCCCTCTTGAGTATCCACAGCGGCGATGGATCTAGGACAGCCTAAAGCATTTCTTTAAAAATCCCAGCTTTTCCATCTTATTGTCTGTGAAGATCTCAAGTCATAGAGAAGAACTTTGCTTGCAAGATATTCTTGACTTTGAGTCAACAGCTGCTTTGGTAGGGAAAATAATTTGCAGCAAAGGTGTCATAATATGTCAGCCCTCACCCATCAGCTGCTTTGTAATGTAATAACTTTTATACTAGTCAAAGAGTAAATATTATTCCAGTAACCTTATCACCTTGCTGTAATTATAGGGCATGTCTGCAAAGATTCTACATAAGCAAAGTACAAACAGCCAACAAACTAACTAAATTAGGCTAACTACATATTACAGTGGTACCTCTAGTTACGAACTTAATCCGTTCCGTGACTCTGGTTGCAACTCG